TTGGCGATCGGTCCCATGATACAAAAAATCAATCATCAATCAAAAAAAATCCCAAGCTTATGAAATTTCAAATTCACTAAAACGAAATCAAGAAATCATCGAATTCCTAGAGTTTTGATCAGTTTGATTCCGGCCGATCGTGTTTGAAGCCGGCGAAGAATGGATCTCAGTAGAATGAGCCGGGAGCAGATAACGCTGGTCGGAGTAGGCTTCTGCGTGATGGTGACAATGCATTTCACGGTTCAACTGTTGTCTCAGCATCTCTTTTACTGGAAAAACCCTAAGGAACAGAAAGCTATAGTCATAATTATTCTTATGGCGCCAATTTATGCTGTTGATTCTTTTGTAGGCTTGTTGGATATTAGAGGCAGCAAAGCCTTCTTCATGCTTCTTGACTCCGTTAAGGAGTGTTATGAGGCTTTGGTTAGTGTCTCTCGCACTCGCTCATTTACTTGTTGTTTGTGTGTTTGGATAATTAGGAATTCAAGTGTTTGAGAGTGTGTTTGTGTGCAGGTGATTGCTAAGTTTATGGCTTTGATGTATAGTTACTTGAATATATCAATTAGCAATAATATTGTGCCGGATGGAATTAAAGGAAGAGAGATTCATCATTCATTTCCAATGACTCTTTTCCAGGTATGTGTTGTTTTATACAGCTTATGTGGGAAGAGCTTCTAGTATTAAAGCTTTATTGGTTATTCAATTGTTATATGGTGTTTTGGATGGTCGTTAGAACCTCATACTTTTATCAGCTTATAAACAAGCTTCAATATTTGACTCTTCTAATAGAGGCAAAGAAATTAGGAAAGACACAAATGCATCCAGATATATCATGATCGATTAGTGGAATGGTTAATTTCATGAATATCACTTACATGGCAAAACCACAAGTTTCCTGCTTAGGGTTCAGCAGTGCCCCTGATTTCCGATTCAAGTTCACAAAGTGGTTAGGAAGATTTCTGAGTTATCCAAAAGAAAAAAAAGAGTTCCATTTTCAACAGATGTTTATGGTTAAATTGGTAAGAAAGATAATGGAGAATATTTTTTTTTATTTTCTGTTCTTATTAGTTTACTGTAAAAATCTCTCAACTAATCAGGGAGGAAATGTGGTAACTTATTCTTTTTATGGTGTTTGTTGTTGTTACACGTGATTTACAGCTGATGTGATGAAAGCCGGATCTGAATGCAAATTATAGTTTTGGTTTGTTTAAATGATTTGAAACTTAATGACCAAATGGTTGTAATTTTGACACTCTTTTCACAAATTGCAGCCTCGTACGGTCCGACTGGATCGCCATACACTGAAGCTTCTCAAATATTGGACATGGCAGTTTGTTGTTATCCGCCCAATATGTTCCATCTTGATGATCACATTACAAATTCTTGGGATGTATCCAACTTGGTTGAGCTGGACATTTACCATCATTCTGAACATTTCTGTTTCATTGGCATTATATTCTTTGGTGATCTTTTACCACGTTTTTGCAAAAGAGCTGGCACCACACAAGCCACTTGCGAAGTTCATGTGCATCAAAGGCATTGTTTTCTTTTGCTTTTGGCAGGTAAAATCTCTCACCCTATTCCTTTTCACAACAGATAAGTTTATTTTGATCTTCAAAAGAAGTTGAAATGCAAACCCCAAAGGTTCTCAAGGACACAAGAGCCCTTAAAAATTGTAAACAACAGAGCACCAGCATAAAAACTACTCCAGTATATCACAGCATAGAATAGATGAATAGGCAAAGGCTGTAGCATTTTCGATTACTATGTAAGCAGAACTGCAACCTATAGCTAGCATTTGGGGACCTTCTGTAGTCCTCTTCTTTAAAAAAAAAAAAAAAAATTCATTGCTTAATTCAAGATGGTGGAGAAGTTTCTCTTTGTGGAGTCAACCTAGAAAGTTCTAGTGTTAAATGCTAACATAAGCAAGTGTGTCTGGATCACCTGAATTTTAATGGACCATTTAGCATCATTTTAATTGATTGAGTCCTTGTTTAGCTGGATGCCTCAGAATGTACTTCCTGATATGGGCTTCAGGCCTCAAGTTATTGTGTCTTTTGGAAAAAGGCTTCGTCATTTTATTGACTTGCTTTTGGACTTGCGAAGGAAAAAATGTAATGATTAAGCCTCATGAACACCTTTAAATTCTTGATATTGATTCAAGTGGCAGATTGAAAGCTTTTTGTCGTTCTATTGACCTTCAACTTGTTTTTAGGTAACTCTATTCGCCAATGACTGGGAAGAAGTTTAAGCACTTAATTTCTTTTGATAGGAGTTCTAAGAATCAAGTAATTGGATTAAGTAATCTTAAAGAGTGATTACAGTAATTGCTTTGGCTGCAATTGCTTGGAAGTTGCAGTGATTTGAATGATCGGAGTACCCGTCACGATAACATGGAGTTGACGGTTGCCTTTTTTCTACCTTAGTTTCCATTCTGCCCAAATTTCCATTTTTTCTTTGATTTGTTTTTCATAAACACTATTGCATGAATACCATTTCTTGCTCACAAATGCCATATTTGTTCTTTTGACAATTGCAGGGTGTGGTGCTTGAGATACTGGCAGCCGTTGGCATCATTCGGTCTCATCATTTCTGGTTAGACGTTGAGCACATTGAGGAAGCTATTCAGAATGTATTAGTGTGTCTGGAAATGGTAGTCTTCGCTGTTTTCCAGCAGTACGCATACCATGTTGCACCCTACAGTGGAGATGTTGTAGCGAAGTTGAAAATGAAGAAGAAGGAGTGACACACGAAGCCCAAAAACAATGATGAACTCCATGTGTATGAATCCAAACACATCATTTAGGTTGTATTCCTTCTTTGTGGCACTTGGTTATGAAAGTATAAACGCAGGTTGCACTTTTCTGTTGCTGGGTTTTCTGTGAGATAGACTGGAGAATGTGTTACAGAACAAATACAGGTGTATTATTAGAACTGGTTGTATTGCTAAATTTTTGGGCTTTTGAGGTAGAGTTGGTGGCCCAAATCTCGCATACATTTTGAGGTAATTTTATTTTCAGAGGGATATGCTCATACGAAACAAATAAAAGGCTTTTTTTCATGTTTTATCGCAATAAAAACTTTTTATTAAAAAAGTTAGGATCGTTTAAAGATATTGGACAATCTTCTGGCCCCTCAAAACACATGATTGCGTATAGCTTAAATGCACTGGTTACAGTGCAACCTCAATTATTAATTTATATCCTCCTCCTCCAACTCCATAATGCAATCCAATTCATAGGTCAGCCAGCTTCTATTCTGGTGGTCTTGTTGAACCAATTCCTAAAAACATGTTAATAATTTTATAACAATAATGTTTCACACACAAGTTGAGATCCTAACCGATATAATTGTGTATGTATAACGTTAATTCAAATTGGTGATATAATTGTGTATTTATAACGTTAATTCAAATTGGTGATGTGAACCGTATACAATCTGACCAAGTATGCTATTTCCTCGATCTTACAGCAACATTATTTTTTTTATTTATGACCGAGGTGTCCAAGTCAGTTTGCACTTACCTCAACTAATTTTCGGGGTTTATTGAATACCCTACAAACCTAATGTTTCAGGGTAAGTTATAAATGTGGTATGTGACCCCAAAGTGATTCGAACCTAAGAAATCAATAAAAGGAACAAACCCTCTTGAACGATAGAACAATCATTTTACAACACCCTAATTGAATATGGGAATGGGATAAGTGGGCTCACCTGATGATTTATGGCAGCCTTGGGTTGGCTTAAGTATCAACGGAGCGTTTGAAAGTTCTCCAAGTGGTGCATTTTGATTTCTAAAGAAGCCACTGAGGTTGAGGTCAAACACTAGAGAACAAAGCATAATGGAATTTTTATCATAATCAAATTTCAAATCTAAAACCATACGGAAATGGTTGAGTATGAAAAATCACAAAAAGATGGCGCCATGTCCAGTTTAGGGCCCATGGACCCATTTACATGCATTTTAAAATATGAAGTCATCTCATCACCTTTGTATAAACATTCCCAAAATCATTTCTTTTGGACTAAAAAAGGAATTCAGAATCTCACAACTATAAGCTTGGAAGTAAAGTAGTTCCATAATGTACCATTAAACAAATAAAATGGAATTTATTCTCTTTTGTTCTTTTTGTTAAATATTAATCACAAAACTTATGTTAACAAAAAATTAATGTAAAAATCTATTTGATATTGTTAATTTTTATATTATGAGTAATTTTATCAGGAGGGGTTATGTGAGGTCACAAAAGAGAATCATATTATGAGTAATTTTTTTTTTATGATCAGGATGTCTGAGCTAACTTGTTTGTACCTTAATTAATCTTTAAGACCTATTAAACATCCTACAAATCCAATGTTTCAAAGTAAACCATAAATATAATAAGTGAAACTCATAAAATCAACGAAAGGAGCAAACATTTTTAATCGTGAAGCCAAACCCTTGTCAATACAATGAAAGTTTTACTTCATGTCAAGTGTTGTTAGAGCTTGCATTTGTCATGAGTTAATAAATTTTATCATTTCAAATTTATTATTTTAATGAATGAAAGTATTACACATTTTTATTATTTCAAAAATTTAAAAAAAAAAAATCATTATTTAATCAAACATTGAGAAATTAATGTCAATTAACTCTTAACACAATTGAATATCTATATTCCAAAATTATTGGTATATCTGTTAATTACATAAGAATAATAAAAAATAGTGTTACCAAACATTCTATTGAATAATGAATTAAATATTAAAAAAAATAATAATAAAGAAGGAAATATAATGATGGAGTTTGCAGTCAACTATGCTTAGCTTCATGATTCCAATAACATTAGGTATACTTAAAAATCCAAATTTTCTTTTTAGTTTCCTTTCTGAGCAACCAAACACAAAATTGGCCATCAATTCAAAGGCCACTCACCAAAAGCCACCAAAGGGAGGACCCATTAGCACGCGTGTGCGTACACGCGACTATCCAAAGTCCAAACGTTTAACAAAGTATACAACATACTCGAAAGAACCCACTTTGGACTTTGCCATTTCTCTTCTTATTCCTTCTTTTCTTTTCTGTCTCACTGTCTGTACAAAAACAAAGAAATATTGAGTTTTTGCAGAGAAAGGAAGAAACTTTTTAGCATGAACGAGAAGGCTAACGTTTCTAAAGAGCTTAATGCTAAGCACAGAAAGGTTTCTTTTTTTTTTCCATTTGTATTTGTGTACATGTTTTTATTCTTTAGTTGGGTTTGATTTCTTGTTTTGAATTTTGGTTTCTTTTATGATTATGAATCTTGTTTTTGGCATATAAGTTTGTTTACTTGGTTGCGAAGTTTGAGTCTTTCCACTTTTTATCATTATTAATGTTTATAGAGTTTAGCAATGCATGAATTGAATGGCCATGCTTAATCTGTTTATATTTTCCTTTTTATTTGGATTCATATTTGATCATAGTACAAATTTGAATTAGTTTTGCTCTGGTTTAGATTTAGGTCCTGAGCAGCCTTAGGTTCTGTTTGAAATTGTTTTTCCTTTCATGGTCAACCCACTAGTTTTCTTTTACCCTTCAAATCATTAGTTCTGCTTAGCTGGGAAGCCCTGAGTAATTTAGAAAGTGAGAGTTAGTCTATATAAGTATTGATATTTGCCTCATGTTAATTAACCAATAATGAAAGTTGTTTGATGTCCATGATATAGCTGTCAAAAGGGTTTGGTGATACCAGTTTGTCTGAAACCAAGGCCCACTATGTGGGTTGTAACTCATTAGGAATTTGATGATGGTCATCTGGCTTTTGTGCGCAAATACATAACAGCTGTGGATTGTGTTAGATGTTGTATAATATATGTTATGCTTTAGCTTAGGCTTGTATTTTACTGAATTGTGAAGTTCATAAGCATCACAATAAGTTCTGAGTTAAATTGAACAAGCACTATGCACTTTTTTTTTTTAATCTTTACAATTCGTTAAATGGTTTTCCTTTTAGTACAAAAGATGCCCTGTGCATGGTTGTTCAGGAAAGATAATAATTTCTCTCAGTTAGCTACACACATAGATCATGTAAACTAGTGAAGTTTCTAGGATTCCTCTACTTAAAAATAACTGTAGTTAACCATTGCTTAGATGATTAAATGTTTATAGAAATTCTGTTTACTGCTACTTTCTTAGACTTCCTATGACATAAACATTTTTGTCTTAGACAAAGAGTTCAGACATTTATGATTTTATGATTAAACTGGACCTTTTTCCTTTTCCTTGCTGCTAACAACACAGTCCAATGTATGATATAGGTTTAAGCATGGTAAATTTAGGTTTTATCTTCTCAGTTTTCCTTTATTAATTTCTGATTAAAGGAAATGTTTGCTTTGGAAATGAGCACCTTCTTCCATTCTCAAATATTGGAATATTAAGATGAGACATAAATGATATATTTGCAACATTTGATCTGAAGCTGTTATGTAAATTTTTTGCCCCATATGTTCCCATATTTTTTATTGCTAATCCAGCATCTGTCGTCACTCATTTTTCCTATAGACTGGTAACAATGATACCAGTCATTTTTCATTTCCCATATCTCTCATTTTTTATTTTTTTTTCAAAATTACTTAATATTTTTGTTAAATATTGGAATATTACTGTCTCTCTCCAATTTTGGTTTCAATGATTATTTTTTTGTATCTCTTCAACATTGTTCAGTTAAAGTTATGATTTGACAGATAAAAGTGAGGAATTTTCTTGTGATTTTATATTGGTGCCAATTTGTGAAAGAAAAGAATTTTTAGTTGAGACTTAGATTCAAGGGAAAAGAAAGAACTACATAGATGGTTTTACTTAATAATTTCTTCTGTGCAAATATTTTTACCAACCGACAAGACTGACACTCAAATAAGTTTGGTGCTGGTTTTGTAGTCAACCTATTGAGTGATGTGGTCAATCAGAATTATCTCTTTTTAATAATTTTTCTTTTTGGGGGTCCTTTTATCTCCATTTTTCAAGTAGTTTATTTAGTTTGGTGCTTTATTTGCAGATCTTGGAGAGCCTTTTAAAATTACCAGAAAACCGAGAGTGTGCTGACTGTAAAACCAAGTAGGTATCTACAACCAAAAAAAAAAAATGTTGTTAGTCTGTTTGTATTAAAGGAATTAACACAAGTGCTCAAATAGTGAAGATTGGGGAAAGAGATAGAACAATATCAGAGTTTTGATACCATATGCTTCAGTTCAGATCCTGTAGCATATATTGGATCGTTGAGTTATATCTTTTTTTTTCTTTTTTTTTTGGTATAGCTTGAGATGTTCTAACTTGTACTGTTGGCTTGGGTGTCATGCAGAGCCCCAAGATGGGCAAGTGTGAATCTGGGAATTTTCATATGCATGCAATGTTCAGGGGTCCACAGAAGTCTTGGAGTACACATATCAAAGGTGGGATATATTGTTTCTTGCTTTTAGTATCTGCTTATTTTGCTTGTTTTCTGAGTCATACCATAAAACAATTAAGTTTTGGCAACTAGAGGTTCATATATATATTTTGTATTATCTTGTTGCAGGTGAGATCTGCCACTTTAGACACTTGGCTTCCGGAGCAGGTCGCATTTATTCAATGTATGTTTCTCTTATTTATGTATATACCATTGATGTCAAGTCAGTTCTAAGTAAAAGTTGTAAGGTGCTGAAAATAACTTTTGTTTATTTTTGTCTGCAGCTATGGGGAATGAGAAATCAAACAGCTACTGGGAAGCAGAGTTGCCTCCTAATTATGACAGAGTTAGAATTGAGAATTTCATTCGTGCAAAGTATGCTTCATAGAATACCACTGCGAGTAGTAATTTGTTGCTTTATTCTATTTACTGCATTATGATCAATAAGAGAATTACCTGATGATGGGCTCAAGGGAGTTTACGTTATTCATTAGGTATCAAGATAAGAAATGGGTTCCTAGGAATGGGAAAGCAAGATCTCCTTCAAGGGCGACTGAAGAGAAGGTTTCAGTTCATAGTCTGCGAAATGCAAATATTGGGCAAAGATTTACAAATAACATAAATCATGTTTCCGAAGAGAGGAATATTGCTCAGCTCCCCATTCCAAATAACCACAACATTCCTGCTTCAAAACCTAGTACTCCAGCAACCATTAAAGTAGTTCAGCAGGTGGATAGAATTTTCTCATTTGGTCTTTCTTAATGATCACCAATATATTCATTTTATCCAGCTTCAATAGTTATTTCTGTCTATAGATGCAATATATCTGTGAATCAAGTATAGGAAACAATATTATCAAAACCAGAAAACTACTTTACCTTGTTTTGATGCAATTTTAAATGTTAAAAGCGGTGGAAGTTATTGAATTTGTTTTTATTTAGCTAAGAAGCAAAAATACATTGGAAACAATATAGTTTGAGATTTTCCAACAGATTGAAGTGCCTGATGACACAAAAATACGCTAGATTATATGTGAGACGAACCTTGTAAATCACTGATTTATTGTTAGAGATATGTGAATCCTGTGGTCTAAAGCCCCCTCTTTTCTGGTTTTCTAAAGACTAATGAGTTAATACTTGTTAAGCAGGTAAAACCTGATCCGAAGACCCAAGAATCTGTGCAGAATCCAGAACCAGCAGTCTCAAAGGCTGAATTGACAAAGCAGGAAGCTACTACTACTTCAGTTGTTACACAACGCAAAGTAGATTATGCTACTGATCTTTTTAATTTGCTTTCCATGGATGATTCAAGAGAAAATGATGCCAAGACTTCTACTGATACAAACACATGGGCCAATTTCCAATGTATATTTCTTTTCCTAATAATATTGTAAAACAAATTATTGCTACTTTTTATGTATTCCCCTTAGTTGGTTTTTCACTTAAATGCTTCCTTAATTATGTTTAATTAGTTTTGTTGTTAACTTTAACTATGAACCTTCTTAACTTGCAGCTACAAATGCAAAATCAACTGCGGAGATAAGTAATTTATCAAAAACAACTGCAGAGATAAGTAATTCATCAAAAACAACTAAGAGCAAGACACAATCCAAGTCCAACTATGGACTTGAGGATCTATTTTTAGAGTCACCATCAGTCCCATCCATTTCAGAAAACCCCCAGAAAGAAGTGAATAGTGATATCATGAACCTCTTTGAAAAGGTAAATTTTGCCAATTTTCTTGTTCAAGTTTTGAGAAGCACCTATACATTGGTCGGTTGTTGCAATGGAGGTTCTATCTAAAGACTCACCACTGGTTACACCATCCTTTTCTATTGAAGACTGATTCATGAGAGGCATATATATTTAGCATGGGACTTACTAAAGCAGATCTTTATAGTTTGACCATGTGGAGTGCTGGTGTTTTTTTTTAACAATTTTTCGCCTTGACCAGTTTGACCTTGGTAGCAAGTCTCTAGTTAGTGTTCTGTTGAAGGAGATGAAAAATGAAAACTTAGTCTAAAAATTTTAAATTTTGTAAACCTTGTTGCCGTACCTTTTACTAATGACTATCTATGTAGTCTGTGTTCTTATCATTTTAGTTTGGGGAATTTGTGCAGTCTAAAATGGTGTCTCCATTTTCTACCCATCAACAGCAAGTTGCTATGCTTGCCCAGCAACAGTCCTTACTCATAGCTGCTTCGGCAAAATCTACTGGTGGACCTCAAACCTTCCCTGTCAATGTACAGCAACCTGTCTCTAATGGTACTTACTTGCCGACTCATAATTGGGGATTTCATGGCCATCAAGTTCCAGGAATGATGATGCCAATCAATAATCAGCAAAAATATGTACAGGTTAAACTCGTGAAATGCTAAATTTCAAGTAATTTCAGGTTGAAACTCCCTCTCTTATCATGTTATTGTCTTTTTGTACCAGATGGGAAATGGTCAATACACATATCCAGCAGGGAATTTAGTTAATCTTCCAACACCCAGGTAAACTGATGGATTCATCATGGTCACTAGAATTTTCCTTCATATTGTCTTTACTGGTTTAGTTTTTAAAGATTTTACGAGTTAAGATAGGCTAAATGTCACAGTTTCCAGAAAAAGAAAAATAAATAAACAAGTGCAAAGTCATAATCATGGAGCTGTTTGTGCTCTTGCGTATCTGTACGTGTTTAATATCTCATTATATGTCAGCCCTGAAAGAGGTCAAAAGACTGAAATAAGTCAATGATTGTATTTTGACTATAAATTACGTCAATGACAAGTTGTTCAAGGAGTTCAACGAACAGACCAAGAAATCTTTGGTGGTTACCCAGATCATGTGGCAATTTACATATTTTGAAAGGTTTTGAAACCTTCTTTATGTGTGTCGACTCTCGAGTTGCAAATCACAATGCATTATTTCTGCAGCCACAGCGATCAAAGATTAGGGATCATCCCTCAGTTCCCAATTCCATTAGCTATGATTTGTCATAGAGGTCTTTGTTCATGTGCTCAACATTCATACCTGTGTTTATCCTAGAGTCAGAATTCACCATAAAATTAAATGTCATATTAGCCTTAATCATGCATGTGTATGCCTTGAATGTGTGGCTGTAATGTTCATTTTGTGACATTTAGATAATTTATTTTATTATCTCCATTTGATTCTGCAGCATGAATACACAATGGCCAATGGCTCCAGTCAATGGCGTAGCAAATATTAGAGCAAGTACCAGGCCTCCTACAGCGCCTTCAGATTATGATTTTTCATCTTTAACACAAGGAATGTTTACAAGACGATGATCAATTCCAAGTCATGGGTATACAGATTCTCATTATTATTCCTCCTTATAGCAGAAATGTATAAATCACAGAAAACAATGAGAGAAAAAAAAACTGAGTGCATTCATTCTTCTTTATTTCAATCTTAATAAATTTTTTTTTTTTTTTTTCATGGGGGTAGGGGATTTATTTTATTGGGTTATTGGCTTCATTTGTGTCTCTGGATTTGTCTGTAAAATAAAGTTAGTTTATACATACCTCGGTATTTGATTGAAATTATATATCATATAAAACATAAATTAATATTATGTTCTTGGTGAGTTGATGTACCTTACTACCTTACAATAAAAAAAAGGGCCCCGGCCCGGGCATATGATGGCCTGGGCCCGAAAAAGTATACCCCGGGCTGGGCTCGAGCTTTGGTAGGCCTGGCCCAGACCCGGCGGTATTATAAGAACCTTTATAAACTTACAGATAAACCCATGAAAAATTATATAACTCCTAAAAAACTACAGATGGCCCCTGAGAAGATAATCAGAAAAGTTCTGTTGAAGGAAAAATTGAGAAAGCTCTCAAGAAACTACCCAGCAACCCTTTATAAAGAAAAATTATAATAATCCCCTGACAAATTACATCCAGCCGTCATATATCATGTAAAATAAAAAAGAACCCTAATCATTTCAACCAAACCTGGGGTTAATGTAACCCAGACCTAACCTGGGCCAAGCCAGGGGTCTTAGACATCCCTAGATCTATCTAGAAACAATCTAATTACAGATGTTAAATGTTAAATGAAAGTTTAAAACCCCTCAAGAAATATTAATCTATTCTCTTCCACATGGTATAGCCAAAAGCGATACATCTGTAATAATCTTTCCAGAATATAATGAAGATAAACTTGCCCGGCGATGTGGGTAAACTCTTCTACCATTACACGCTTGGGCCATTTTTATTGGTCAAGACTCCAGAAGTCAAATCAGAGTAGTATTGTGACAGCATCTGTGTACACGTATATACATGTCTCATGATTTTGTATGACATCGATGGACACCATCATCAAAAAATTATGGTCTTGATTGAAACTCGCAACAAACACGTAGAGGTAGCTCTAGATCTATCAAAGCCCATCAGCCCGGCCCATTACATCGAGAATCAGTTCAATTTTTTATTTTCTTTATCCTCATAAAATATGATTTCTTTTTTNAACATAAATTAATATTATGTTCTTGGTGAGTTGATGTACCTTACTACCTTACAATAAAAAAAAGGGCCCCGGCCCGGGCATATGATGGCCTGGGCCCGAAAAAGTATACCCCGGGCTGGGCTCGAGCTTTGGTAGGCCTGGCCCAGACCCGGCTGTATTGAAAGAAGTAAGAACCTTTATAAACTTACAGATAAGCCCCTGAAAAATTATATAACTCCTAAAAAACTACAGATGGCCCCTGAGAAGATAATCAGAAAAGTTCTGTTGAAGGAAAAATTGAGAAAGCTCTCAAGAAACTACCCAGCAACCCTTTATAAAGAAAAATTATAATAATCCCCTGACAAATTACATCCAGCCGTCATATATCATGTAAAATAAAAAAGAACCCTAATCATTTCAACCAAACCTGGGGTTAATGTAACCCAGACCTAACCTGGGCCAAGCCAGGGGTCTTAGACATCCCTAGATCTATCTAGAAACAATCTAATTACAGATGTTAAATGTTAAATGAAAGTTTAAAACCCCTCAAGAAATATTAATCTATTCTCTTCCACATGGTATGGCCAAAAGCAATACAACTGTAATCTTTCCAGAATATAATGAAGATAAACTTGCCCGGCAATGTCGGTAAACTCTTCTACCATTACACGCTTGGGCCATTTTTATTGGTCAAGACTCCAGAAGTCAAATCAGAGTAGTATTGTGACAGCATCTGTGTACACGTATATACATGTCTCATGATTTTGTATGACATCGATGGACACCATCATCAAAAAATTATGGTCTTGATTGAAACTCGCAACAAACACGTAGAGGTAGCTCTAGATCTATCAAAGCCCATCAGCCCGGCCCATTACATCGAGAATCAGTTCAATTTTTTATTTTCTTTATCCTCATAAAATATGATTTCTTTTTTTTTTTCAAAAACAAAAAGAGAAAAAAAATCAATATATATCTTTCCTCTCATCTCTCATAAAATAAAGTCTTTAAATTCAAATCAATATTGTTGATACAGAACTGTATCAACTAGAGTGATCTGATTGACCTTAACGGGATCGAAACTAATGTGTACGTGATTATGGATAACCAACAATGAATGGATAATGAATATAGTAAAGTAAATGGCAAAAAAGATTTTAAAGTAGTTCGGCGAGATGAACTCTTGAGCATACGTCCACTGTTCTTTATATTTGCTGTGAGAGCTTACAATAGTAATTCTATAAATATTTTTTCAACCTTGTCCTCATCGTTTGATGGGGTTTATTAAAATACAACTATGATATTCTAGCGATTGGACGCTGTGATTGCGCAAAGATTATTGTCAATCTGATCATTTCCGAGATATTTGGGATATAAAGTTATCTAGAAATTGGTTGAACGATCACTCAAATTGTTTGCCATTAGCTTGTACGAGGTCGAACTATAACTCGACGAACTTATACTAGGTCGGACAATCAGTGAAGTCAAGTTGGTTTGGATCGAACTATATTCTCGCGATGCTTCGAGCTTGATGGAAAAATAACACACAACAAGTATTTTTATCACAAAATTACAATGAGAATAATAAAGTAACATATTTGAGACAAGTTTTTGGAGGAAAAAAAAAAAAAATTATAATTTGAAAGGTTTCTATAAATTTCATATTTTTAATTCTTTTTCTTTGTACTATTAGACAACCATGATGGATATGTTCCCATTTTCACTTTTTTTGCAATATTTTTTACCAACAAACATGTCAAACTTATTTTTATTTTTGTATTTTTCAATTATTTTTAATATTTTTTAAAAAAGAAACAAAAAATAGGTTCACAAAATTTATAAAAGAAAACATTCATTTATTCCAGATAAGTTCAAATGTATGGAAATTTCAAGAAAAAATTCGAGAGAAGAGAACTACTGTTGAAGTCTTATTGACTGTAAGTACGTATCCACGCAGTAGTAGCAAGAATAATCCATGCAAGAATATTTCAAAAAGATCCCTGATGCAAATCTCAACATATGGCAATCATCTGAGAAATGGACGGTGTTGGGTAAGGCTATTGACTTTGACTTGAAAAAGTACCTTATCTCTTCTTTCTTTTTTCACATTTCATTTCCAGTCAACACAATACTGACTGACCATCGATCTCATCTCCTCCCTCCCGCAACCAATCACAACCCTTCAATCTGTTGAAAATTTAGCTTCAAACCACCGCCCAAACCTGAAAATGAACCATAACGGTTACCATTACCAAACACGACAGTTAAAAATTAACGATATCCATGCACGGTTTGAAAGTTTGGGTTGTTTCCAGGATGCCTCAAGGCCATGCCGTCTCTGTCAAAACCTTATCCAGTCAATTAGATATTCAAGTTTGGTTTGAGGAACAAGTAAAACAACTTTTCTCCGACAAAACTACTTCTCAAATTAGTTGAACTGTTGAAGCTAAGTAACTGTTCGTGGGACCTCACGAATTAATTATTACTCCTGTAGAAAATTTAGCCATCGATCCCATCCAGCTATGAAGAATTGAATGCTGGGTGTGGACTTTAGAGTTCTTTTCTTCTTCAAACTTACTATATAAAACTCGGATAATGTTTAGGTATGGAGCTCTGCACGTCACCATCATTCTAGAGTTTAATTTAGGACTGGCAATTTCTTGTGAATAATAGATCTTAATGGTTTTAATATTGAATTTCCTGCCAACATGGATAAAAAATAAAAGGTTTTTTCTTGTATAAAACAATAAAAAAAAATTATTGGACTTGAAGATCGGTGGATCGAGTATATATATATATATATATATATATATATATACAGATCTCTGCTTGGAATAGGTTTAAGATTATAAGGAAAAAGAAGAAGACACAAATCGGGTAGTGTCAAAATCTGGATCACGTATCCAAGTTGTTGCCATTCCCTGAATAATTAAATGCGGAAATATCAAGAGAACAAGTTATTAATTTCATGATTTTCATTTAACAAATGGCGTAGAGTTTCGTGAGGTAGAGAAAATGGCCACCAAATTCCTTAGTGCGCATTTTTACAGCTAAGTAAGCCTTGCTTTTTACACTAAAATTATTGACGTTCATCAATTCTCGAGAAATAATAATTAGGTTATTTCCTTAATAAATTAATTTAACCATTGGGTAACTTACTTGTAAATCTCATTATAAAAAAAAAAAAAAGAAAATTAATCTATATGGATCCCGTGTCCGTGTGCACGTACGCGCATTACATAGAACATGCAAATGTAAATTACTTATAATATTCGATCCATGTTCTTGTGTGTGGAAAAAGTAAACAAGATTAACATCAGTTTTTTTATTTCTTTAATGCAATTTCCAAACGCTTTCAACTGCTTTCCTAGTACTTAAATATAAATTAATGAAAAACAACCAGTCAAATCTATCGTGCTAAGGAAGTTTTGATTTATTGGCTTTACATGGCCGACCATTTGTTGCCGATATCATATTCATCATCAAACAACGCGGTAGAGCCGAAAAGCAATATTGCTAGTAACTTCCAATACTCCATAATGGTGGGATCATATAGAAAATAAAAAAGGCTAATTTTACCGTTTGAAAACAAGACCAAAACTCAAGATTTGTTGGGCGTCTTTATCAGTACTCTTTTTCTGCAAATATTCAATATATTATAAATATGAATATGGATAACGTATGGACTGGGACATAATCAAACCCTTCTGAATCTTAATTAACTGCTTGATTAAGACATGTTCCCTATGAATAATATCACATAAGTCAACATTAAACAATAAAAAAAAAAAAAAAAACCTATTACGTGTAAATTACGTCAATTTTCTTTCGGTTGACTTGAGGGTTTGTTGATAAATAAAAATTCGCCACACGTACAATCCTGGAAAATAATCAACAGTTTAACGTCATTTTCTCGTTTATCCTTAAATTAATCACCATAATTATCCCGAAATTGCCTTAAATTAATTTTGATTTCCATGTAAACGGAACGCGTGTATTGTTACCAACAAGCAATACATAATTTCATGATATACTGTAAGAGTAAACGACTTTTTCCCACCCAAGTTTTGTCTTAGACACTTTTTTCATAAAAAAAAACTTTTAAAATACCATTTTTTTCTCCTAAATTTAATATTTTATTATTATCCAAAACCGAATCTGACAGTGAAAATTATCTCCGTCACCACTATTTAAACCTCTAGTCCCTTCTCTACAAAATCCTCTCGCTCCGACATCTGAATTCTCGTCAATTGTCAGCCACTACAAAGTTAGAGTTTCGGTGAATATTCAATCTGTCACCATCATTCGATCCACTAGCCTCTACTCTACAAACTCCTCTTACCATAACTTCTGGTAACTCGTCAAATGTTGACAGAGAAAATGAAGCATATTTTGAGATTTTGGTATTAATAAAATATAAAATTTGAGTGAAAAAATAGTATTTTAAAATTTTTTTTTGTGGAAAAATGTCATTAAAGCAAACCTTTAGTGGAAAAAAGTCGTTTACTCTGTAATGTAATGTAGTTGTGACGTATAATTGTGTACACATGCAACCATAATATTTTTCCAAAATTTTAAATGGGATACTGAACCATAGTTAATATATTCTCAACCATATAATTCATGGATTCATGAATCTTCAACTGAGATCTGAAATTCTGAATCGTTCCTTTTCCATCAGTTGGCAGCGGAATGGAGTTATGATTCTGCCTTTATTATATTGGGCCTATTATAATTCTGATAGCCCATATTTTCAACTAGTTTTGTAGGTCCCACGTCACATGAGAATCACAATATTTCTTTTTTGAGAGATATTATTTCAATTTTCATACCTCATACAATCAATAGTAACTACAATAATAAATTTATAATATAGATAAAATACTTTTAATTTTGAAAAAAAAATATATATCTGAAATTTCCAATATCTTATAGAAAATTTTTTAATGAAACCGAAAATTCCATAAATAAAGTGAATATTGTGTACATATGGAACCATTATCAATCATAATGACAGTGTAACAATTAATCTAATAAATTATTTCATTACACTTAATATTTATTAATTTTAAATGATTTCATGACTTTTTAATGTCCAATTGAATCCTCGATTGAAAAGTAAATATTAAAGAAAAAGTTTCATAGGCTATTAAGTAGGGACATAAAGGTCAGATTCTTTATGGTACTCAAAGATTTTACATTTTTCTTTTTCATTATTGTGGTGTGGGGGCATTGCCCACCTTCTTACATTACTTTTCCAATTAACACTCTCCAACTTTTTTTATTTTAATGAATATTTGGTACAATTATTACAAAAGAAAAAATTGGATGTCGGTTAGCGGGTGGCGCACCCACAAAGCTGTTGGGCACGTGCCAGGGGTGAGCCTCTCCGCACCCACTGGACCAGCGCTTCAAGACCTTGCTACAAGCTCCGCCTGTAACGGTCAATTATATGACCGTTGTGAGTGTGAGCCCTTTTAAATATTCAAATATTTCTGATACTTTAGTACACTTGCATTATTATATTCAGTTTTTGCCAGAATTAGCAGTTCTCTTTACAGCTTCTAAAAGGATTAGAAATTGAAATTAAATGTAATATAATTAGGATTAATTAATTAATTAAGTAATTATCAAGTTATGAGATTAATTCATAAATCAGATCATTTCAACTGGACTTTAAGGTAACTTAAATATTAAACAAAACTACAAAGTAGAACCTCCCACTTGTCTCCACTTTTCCATGCCATTTGCCATGGTTAAACTACTGTCAACTAATTACTATTATCGTCAACTAATTACTATATACACGGGACCACATAAATAGATACGCACTTAAATCTCAACCATCCATCCATCACCCTCTTCAAATCTAACGCTCTAAATCCGATCACAAACCGCGTCCCCACTCGACCCGCTCTTTCTCTATATATATCTCCCTCTGTCTCCCACACTTTCCATCCAAGTACACTCGCCACCTTTCGTTTTTTCACTCCAAAACACAAGCACACACACTCTCACAAAGAAAAGATGGTGCTTTCTAGTTCTTGGCTTCTTTCTTTAAAATTTATGTTTATGTCCACTGGTGTGTTAGCCTTGGCCTTTTTTTTCAAGGTTTCTGTTCCATTGGTTATGGATTTTTCAGCCTCTAAAGCTCCGGTTCTTTGGAGCTCCTTCCTCTCTTGGTTGAGACCTCCCTATCTTTACCTCATAATCAACTTTATTATCATCGGTATTGTCGCTTCGTCGCGCTGCTTTCAAAACGACGACGTTCCAGCTGAATCGCATTCTCCACCTTCGGATCGTACGGTTTACGACGAGATCAAGATGAAGTCTGAGGTCGCTGGCGTAGTTTACGAGCAGCCGTTACAGAGAATGGAGGAGGAGACTGAGGCTCCGGTTTTTGTGGAAAAGAGTGTTGTGGTTAGCGGTGCTGCTTCGGTGGAGGTCAGTCATAGAGATGACACTTGGACACCAGTCAAAGGAACGGAGTCGTTGGAGATTCCTACTGAGCTTGATTTTTCAGTGGAGAAAGAGAAACCTCTTGTTTCTGCTCGTTTTGGTAACCGGAAACCGATTAAAGCCAGTCCTGAAGGTATTATTTTATTCTATTTTATTTTCTGAATAAAGAATATTTTGTTATAACGGTTAGATTTTATGGCATATCTAGTATGAATATTGAAAAAGAAGACGCTTTTTGGTCGGCGTCGACGAGGAGTCCGCCGCGGCGTGGACGGTCTTTTTGTTAAACTGTTCAATTAGAAACTTGACACGTTTTTTGAAGTGTATTTTACTTAGGTCAAAACGACGAAGGTTCACCTTAATTTCTGTCGTTTTTTTTACTGGAGGCAAAAATAATTTTCAAAACTGGCGTCCACCTCAAGCACAATGTGTGAAATTACTGAATTACCCTTCTAGTTTAATAGTACTTACAATTATGTTAATTTTGATTTTGAAGGTGGAAGGGCGGCGCTGAGGGTGACGAAGACAAAACGGAACGAGACTCTGGAGAACACGTGGAAGACGATAACGGAAGGTCGGGCAATGCCGTTGACGAGGCACTTGAAGAAATCGGACACGTGGGAGAACCACGGGCGTCAGGTGAACGTGGATCCATCGGCGGTGAAGAAGTCGGAGACGTTCAAGGACAGGACCAACTACCAGTTGCCACCTTTGAGCAACTCTCCGGCGTCCGGAGGGAAGCTGCGAAAAGAGCCGTCGCTGAGTCAGGACGAGTTGAATCGGCGAGTGGAGGCGTTCATTAAGAAGTTTAACGAAGAGATGAGGTTGCAGAGACAAGAGAGCTTGAAACAGTATGAAGAAATGATTAGTCGTGGAGGATAGTTTTTAATAAAAGAAAAAAAAATATTTTCGTTTTAAGAAAAAACAAAATGAACTTGGTTTGATTAATTTTTTTTTTTCTTTTTTTTGACTCCAATATGTTGGAATTAATGATATACCGACGTGATGTGAATGTGGTAAGTGTCAATAGAAAAGTCTGTAAATTTATTAAAAAAAATAATAATAATAAGTAGTTGTTTTGTAAGTTCTTTTATTCATATGTTTATTAGCAGCACTCTTCTTTTTTGTTTTTTCATTTATTTATTTTGTGAATTTCGTTTCAAATTAATTTGATAAATTAATGGAATAGTTAGATTAACAGAGAAGGAACAGCTGATTTTTGAGATATTTCGATATTATCAAATAATATTAGAAATTAATTTGAGTGGTCTTCAATTTTGTTAAGAAAATGAAATGGGCAATGTTATATATATATATAGTGTTTCATAAACCTAAATTTTATTTATTAAATATAATAAATTAAATGAACTTTTTGGTAATATTTTTATAAAACACAAAACGAATCCATAAACAAACATCCTTTCGAGTTTCTAAATTTTATGCCAAGAGCTAAAAATTTTGAAACTTGAGGGACAGGGTAGTGTTATTTAAGCCCTCGTTAAATCTCTTTCTAAGTTGTATAATTAGTTAAAATCATTTTAAAGATTTAATTTATTGATGTTTTATATTTGATTCCAAAATTGCCTCTTTATAATAATAATTTTTTTTTATATATATATAAATTTCTTTGTTAATCTATTGGAAGGATGATGCAAATCAAGGATTGACTTCCATCATATTGGAAAGATGGCACAAATCACGGATTGACTTCCATTTACCTGAGTGATACATATAAAAGAAATATAAAAATTATTTCTTTATCCTTATCTTTGAGCTTCCTCTGGTATTCTTGCCATCTCTAGCTCAGTCTCTTCTCTCTGACATGGTATCAAAGCCCACTCTTATCTTTTGCTTGTTTTTTCTGAAATTATTCGATTTATCCTCTCTAACCACTATATCCATTTCCTGCAAAAGAATAGAAGATTGCTCAGGATACTGAAGATCAAAACCAAAACTCTCCCAGCCAAAACAACCAAGATTCAAACACAAATGGATCCAACCAACCAAAAATCAACCAGCCCAAAATCTCAAACCCATTCATCTCATACTTGTGAAACAAGCCAGGGTTATGACTCAAACCCCAACCAAAACCAAAACCAAAACCAAAACCCTCAAACACCACCCATCTTCTTTATGAACCAAAACCAAAATCAGTCAAGTATAGGCCTGCATAGGAACCGAGCCGAGCCAAACACTTTTGTGTTCGAGTTCGGTTTGTGAAAATATGTTCGAGTTCAAATTCATCAAGCCTAGGAAAACCCTATTCGACTTCGAGCTCTGGGAATTGACGGGAGTTCGAGTTTGGTTCGAGTTCGTTTCATTTGTTATCCGAGCCGTGTTTGAGCTCGAAAAGGAACTTGAATTTGTGCTCACATCAGAGTTCGAATTCGTGTTCCATCTCAACCTATAATTACAGCAGTTTATTCACATTCAGTTTTAAAACTAAATTTTCATAAGCTCCAAAGTTCCAGAATGCATGATCAAATTTGAAATCAAATTACAGAGCCTGATTGCAATTGCACCATCAAACTAAATTAAACAATGTTAATCAAGTACTCAGCAGTATGATAAACAAGCTGAAAATTGCTCCCAACATCCCTTTCAGATCAAATTTACACAACACAAGTAACACAACCATAAGGCTTGCTCACAAAAGAAACATCTTGCATCATGTAAAATTTTGGTTGTATTCCCCTCCTCCATGTATATATCAAAATTAAATGACACAACAGATGTCTTAGTACCACAAAAATAACAAAACTTCATCACTTGTCTCATCTAAAAGAGTGCACTGGAAGGCAATTGCATGCAATTACAAATGGTCAAAAATAACTTCATCGGTTTGCCCTTCAACCTACAACAATTAAATACTATTATTGGCATGATCCCACCATTTATCCACCAAAAACCAAATGAAATGGCAACATCCAAGTTTTCATTAATCTCAATATGAATCAATTAAAACAAGCAAACAATTACATACATTTAAAAACTGTACAAACTCACAAAATTACAATGATTTATACATATAAATGAGAACTACATGTAATTTATATCCAATCAAAAAACATTCAAAATTTCAAAGACCCCACATTTTAAAATTAGCAACAACTATTAATACCACCCAGGCAGATAAACACTAAATTCTCACAATATGAACCAAACAAAACAAGCCATCAAAACTGGGGATGACAGCAAACATAAACATGAGCAACAACTCTTCATGCGAATTCTAAACAAAACACAGCTACATAGCCAAACAAAACAAGCCACAGCAAACCCGAACAATAGGCAGCAAAAACAAAAGCATAAATAAGTTGAAAACCATCAAGAATGCAACATCACTTTCCCAATTGTAGCCCAACACTCCCAAAAAGCCATCACAAAGAGAGGAAAAAAAACCTCCCGCAAAAGCATTAAAAAAGAACACCAACCACCTGCCAATCCATAAAAGGCAACAAAACAAACAACTTCCTCAATTCCCAGAACAAACAACAATGACAAGTATCCAACAACTCCAGCAAAAACCCAACAATCGGCCACTGTTACTCTAAAAACTCACAACACCGGATCACCACCAACACCTTCCAACATAGAACAAGCCTGATCCCAGCCGGAAGCAAACATATAAACATACTTAAAATTATTAAATAAAACACCTTAAACATACTTAAACAGGTCTGATACATATGGGAAACATAAATATAACTTCAATCTATAGGAAGTTGGATCTCTACTTCTTCCTCGTCTTTCTAAAATTTGGTATGAGAAAAGATTAGTTTAAATGTTTAAGATATTAAATAAAAGAATCTATTAAATGAACATATAAACATACTTAAAAGAAAATTTAATAATGGAAAGTTGGTAACTTACTTTATCCTTTGTCTTAAGTCCATTTAGGTTGCGAACTTCAACTGTTTTCGGCAACAATGCAGCTTGATATGGATCAATTACTCTACTACTAGCATTGAACGTGGACTTCGAAGCCACTATGGTGATAAGAATGGCTAGTACATCATGAGCTATCCTCGATAATATACGATATTTCAACGTATTTGCTTTCCACTAATCTAGCACATCAAGTTTACTGTGGTGATAAGAATGGCTAGTACATCATGAGCTATCCTCGATAATATACAATATTTCAACGTATTTGCTTTCCACTAATCTAGCACATCAAGTTTATCTTACTCCTCATCAACACACATATATCATGCCTTCGCCAAATAACAATCTATGTCTGATTTTTTCGGTGGAATAGTTTGAATTGTCTTCAAGTGTTGCGTAAATAACTGAAAACCAAAACCAAGAGATCTCAGTGGTAAAGATGCCCAAGGAACCATGATACTATCTCTAATTTGTTAAGTGTTGGTGGAGGCCTTGCGACTCATCTACATATTCTTGGTAAAGTTCATACAGGGTATCTCTAACTTTATCAATATTCGCAAGTGCTTCATCCTCTCCATACATTTGTGGGAAACAAAAGTTAATCACTGCCATTTTGCACCTAAAATCTAGAACCACAGCTACAAATATCAACAAGTTACACTCCCCCCAATACTGTCAATTTTTTTCTTCATTTTTTTCACCATGTCTCATATGAATTCACTTTCGTGGACTGCCTTGTTATCTAGCATCACCTTCACCTGGAAAACTTCACTCAAAAACCTATTTGCGGTCGGGCAATCACTCATGGAGATGATATTAGTTACTGTACAAAACGATTCCAAAATTTCAGTTACTTGCTCCACTTTTACCCGATTCTCTTCTTTTGGACAAATAGCTCTGTAACGTGGGTCTTTCTCATAATATTTTCTAAAAACACATTTGAATTTAAGTGCAGTCGACAACATCTCATAGGCCTAGTTAGTAAAAACGGGTATGAGAAAAAAAGGGTACGGGAATTTTACGGGTATGATACGGCAAATGGTGAAAAATACGTTTGTAAAAATTTGGCCATAAAATTTGGATAATGGAAAAATACGGTACGGGTGTATACTGGTTTAATACGATACATTGTCAATAATAAGTTTTAAAAAATATGGTAATATTAATCCTGATTTTAGCACTTTTCATGGATCACCTTGTTAAAATCAATATAGCATTTCAAATACAAAGTATTCAATTAACTAATAATCATTAGACCTAATAATATAACACAAATACATAATATATAATTGTATTTATGCAATCTGATTTCTCAATCTCCTCTCCTATTGGGTCATAAATTTGGTCAGGTTAAAGTTTTGCAAGTGTTATTAGGAGCCAGCCCATCTAAATTTTAACTCATTAAATAATGCATTTCCTACAACCTTAAATACTATTGTGAATATTAACCAAATCCATGTTTTCCCTTATATCGAAAGTTGCCACCCCCAAACCACTTTTAATACTCATAAATTTTTTGAGCTACCCAGTAATGAGTAAATTTGTTAACTCTTCTGCAATTGTACGACCCTATGTCAGAGTATGTCCCACTCCAGCCATCAAATTTGTTGACTAATTAATGACACTGGCACTTGGGAATTTAAAAAAAAAATGACATCTTTGTCCCTTCTTAAATAACGCTTTTTTGTTTTAAAAAATTTGGCCGAATTATACGAATTATTCACGAATTATACGGTTAGGATATAAAATTCACGTATTATTCGATTACACTGATAAAATAAGACAATTCGTGTATAATATGCGAATTATACGGCTGAGCGTATAATTCACGTTTTATACGAAAATTTACTAACTAGGCTCATAGGTGGAATTCCACTACGTCTTGCAATCCAAAATCAGCTTCTGATGAGGCAACAACAACAATTGCACAATTTCTAAAAAAGTTTTAAGTTTACTCTCCGTTTGTTTCACATATGCCACACTATCTCAGACATCTTCAAAAATGTTCTTTATTTAAGAGAAACCATCTTGAACCATTAGGTTCGAGATTAATGATTCAAGATGTGTGCGCAACACTGCCCGTGAAACAATTTCCCCCCACACAGTAGTTTACTGCTTATTGACAAATTCTCTCTCAAGATTCTTGTTGCAACATCATTACTTGTTGCATTATTGACCGATATCGTGTAAACTTTG